TCTAATGCAGAGCACTGAGATGTCCTTGGCAGAGATGTCAGTGTTTCTCAGTGTGTTGTTCATTGCTTAATCATGCTGGGCAGCAGGACAGACAGCCGACAGGATGAGCAACTTTATGTCAGCAGGCATTGCAACTCCCCAGCCCATAAAAGGCCCATTACTACCGTTCCATGCAGCCACAAGCATTCACCTGGGAAAAGCTGGTGAAACTGATTCAGACTCAAAAACACCCAGTGTGGCAGAGCAGCGAGATCATCACAACAACCCACACCTTGAGTATACAGACGCAGAGAGAAGCTCTGGTGTCAGCAAAAGTCTCCCGCCTCCACAAAAAGAGCCCGCAAGAAAATGCTCTAGATAAAATGTTCGACTTGTACTGTGAAGATTTCACATAATGAAAAGTTAGGAGCCCGGTTCAATTTTGGTTAAATATGTCTTAGGGATCCGAGGGCCAGCAGGTCTAATATGGAGGTAGCTGTAGGGATTCAGCAAAGTCACAGTGTGACGCCGAAGGCACGACTGAGAGAAGCCTGGACAGTGAAAATGTGCTTTTGTGCTTTTGTGCTGATAACCACACAAACCCCTCTTTTCTATTTAAAAGTATATTAATAGGATTATGTCATGAGCACCGAAACTACCAGATGCAAAAAATCTAAACATATGAAAGCAGAGTATTTGCTGTACTGGCAAATTTAAAAAGAAAGTGTCATTCGACTGCTATATTAATAATGTAGAACTATCTCAATCATATGAATGTCTCCGCATGTGGTAAAACAGACAAAGAAGCAATGACATGAGTGGAAAAGTTGGGTTGAAACGCGGCAGGATTTCTTTCCTCTAAATGAGAAAATAACGGGGTGGTAATTTTCTGTAAGTTGGCATCTCTCTTCACATCAGTGGATTAAGAAATTAATGAAAAGTGGCTAGTCAATCTGACATTTCTAAATTAAGAAGCAAGTATCCAAATGACAAAATTAAAAGGGGGAGAATGAAGTAGAGGATAAATAATTGGCTGGGGAAATTTTGACAGAAAGAGAAGTGGAAAACATGGCAGTTGAAGAAAAAGAGAGTGGAAACAGAGAAGGCTCTGGATGCTCCAGGCAATGCCATCTGTGGGTGGATCTGCAAAGGCTGCGTGCCACACACCTGTGTGGGACTGCCTGGGAGATAAGGCCCTCAGCACAATGGCCCTGTGGCCACCTGCGCTGCCAAACAGGTGCGCAGCCTAGCCAATTAAACTATTAGACAAACACAGGCCTCTGGGAGCAAATTAGCAGCCTCCCCAAACACCAGAGGAAAAACAAAAAGCAATAGTAAGCACTGACAGTGAAGAACAACTACACTTTGATGGGGAGACTTCTATCTCGTTTTTGCATTTATGTTAAAAGAAACAAAGTTTGGGTCGATTTGTTGTCATTTAAAATGATCATTTATCTGTCATGAATCCAAAATGACGTTTGAAATTTACAGGAAGTAAGAAAGGAGACAGACTGGGAGGCATTTGCCTCACAGGAAGTCTTTTTGTTTCTTTATTTTTCAGTTTCTTATACACCGATATTTGCTTTAAGTTCGTCAATGATTGGTGACATGTCATCGACAATGACGAATTAATGACTTTTAATTGCGGTATCAAGACTGAAACAGCTCATGTTCTTCTCATGTTCAAAATATTCAAAGATTAAACTATTAGCAGATGATTTAAGTCATTATAAAAGGCTTGAATATGTTATTGAGGCTACGTTATCTCAAATGACAACAAAAAACATCATAAAAATGACCTAGTTGGTCACCAGTTGTTTTTATTTCGAGCCTTCTTAAAAAAAGGGGCTAATATCAAACTTTCTCCTCATTTTCATTTTGGCTCCTTTATGGTTATCAGCACGCTTGCTTGCCCAGAGCTCAGGATCAGAGGAGGAGATGCTGCGCCATTGATGTTTGAGATCACAACACTGAGTACAACGCTGAGTATGGGCTGGATAAGTGGGATCTGCCACAACCAATTTAGTGGTTGTGGGAGCTCTTAATTCATATTTATATTTGAGAGTTACAAAAAAGAATCAAATCTAAAGAACAACAAAAAAGCTTTTTCTATCAGGCATGTCCTAAATACTGACATGCACGCCCTACTTTGGGCATAAAAGATGCTAAAAAGATGCAAACATTGAAGACGTTAAGTTGCTTTTAAATGCTAAAAGATAATCTGGATTGTTGACCATTTTTGTTGTATTCCTTTCTGTTTGTACTGTGTAGTTGTACTGTGAAGTACAAGTACCTTATATAAATAACAATTAAATAATTTATTAAAATACACATATTTAAAAGCAGTCAAGTGCATCATTATTCTGAGGTGCAACTAAAAACCAAGCATGAACGCACTGCTCTGCACCTATTTCATGCTTATTTCCATTATATGCTAACATACAATCAAACTACACCAAAGGTTACATTAACATAGTGTGAGTGAAATGCAGAGTTCCTGTGTGTTGTGATCCATAACAATTAAGTACGTATTAATTAGAAGAAACCTTATTCATGCTGCAAGAGTAAAATAATAAGAGCTGTAAAGACAGGCAGGGGACAACACTTGCACAGTCCTGCCCAGAATCACCATCCAAAGATGGGTCCCTGGGTAGGTCTAGTCATCCGTGGGAGGCAAGTTTTTCATAAAGCACGGGTCACTCATAAGCTGGTCAAAGGTTCAGCCGTTTTAAAAACACCCACAGGGCAAGCCTGGCCTCAGTTAGAACCCCTAGGCACCAGTTGGCCTTTCTAAGTGGAAAGGCTGACTCCCTACAGCTTGCTGGAGTTTTCGGGCAGTGACTCCACAGAATCCAATCACTCTAGGGATAATTACTTCGCTATTAATTCATGTCGTTACATATTATATAAGGACTTTCATTTGTTTTAAGCTCAAACGGTTATATGTTAGTACGTGACAGTGTGCATGTGTCACATATTCTCGTGCTTAAAAATTCAAATGCATTTCAGGTGAACTCCTTAATCACCCAAGTTTGATGTGGAAGAAGAGAATTGCTGTCAATGAAAAGTTCCACTGTGTCCATTTCTGTATATAACTGGCTGTACTGAGCAGCTGTTGTGCACAATTTGAGCAATAATGTAACTATATTGTCTTTGCTTTCAAACTGGTTAATGCAGGGATGGAGCAGCGATGCCAGTAGTAGCACACAGATTAGATAAAAGCTCCTCTGAGGCTATGCTGCCAGGTCTGTTCTCTGTATGCAGGGTCAACATAAAAATGCTTCCACTTATACAGTGACCATTTACTTGCACCACTCATTGATTCACATTAGGAAACGGCTCCTGAACAGTGGGATGATAAATAATTTAGGCAATCTGCTGTCACTAAGCCTGAGTGTGTATTGCACCAGTGAGACTAAATTATGATTGAAGATCTCGTTTACAGGAGAGATGGTAGAATTTAGTTACCTACTATAGAAACTAGGGGGGGAAGCCTGGTAACAAATGACCCAAAAGAAAAGCAAACAGGTGATACAGGTTCACACAGGATTAAAGAAAAAGTCCCCTTTTATGTTTGTTTTTGTTTGCTAAGAAGCAATTATTATAGCCAGATGTGCTCATTAGCAAAAGCTTGCTTTTTGAGTTTCCAATAACAAAATAAGCTGGACTATAAATGCACGGACTGTGTGGGAAGAAAGAACAGAAGAATAAGATCTTAAAAACCACACGATGAATGAGCTACATGAGTTAAAATGATGCTTTTAAACATCTATATGTTTTTGTATATAAGGACTAGAGGGAAACTGTGGAGAAAGTGCATAATGTGTCGGGACAGTAAGAGCTAAAATCATCAAAACAGCAATCCTTCACAGTAGGGATGCACCGATACCGATACTGGTATCGGGGCCGATACTGTAAAATGTGTGTGTACTCATACTCGTAAAAGTTAACCGATACCATGAACCGATACTAACTTATTTCATTAATCAGAGGGTGGCTTGTCATTTCTGTTGTAGTTTTTTAGATTGGCCACTAGGGGGACATCCCACGCTAAACAGGCACAGGGTTAGACGAATGAGACTGGCAGCTCCAGATAAAAAAGAGAAACTGGAGGCTGCTGTAGCTAGGCTAAACAAAATGTCAACAGTGTGGAACAGCCAACTTTAACTCAGGTTTTGGAAAAGCGATGAAAAATGTCAAGAGAAAATCCACGGGCAGTTAAAATAACAGAGGCTCTGACTCATTTTATCGCTCTGGATGACCAGCCAATGCCGGTCGTGGAAAACAGAGGATTGAACCGTCTTCTCAGCATACTCGAGCTGCGATATGAAATTGGACACTCTGCAATAATTTAAAAGTTTATTTTATTCTCAAACCTAATTTGTATTTATTTTATTCCAAACAGAAGTGTTTATTTATTATTCTGAAAGCTCGAGACAGTGCCAATAGTTCAGTGATATTTTGTTAAATTACAATGTGGAGACTCTGCAATAATTTAACAGAAGTGCTTATTTTTCACTTGAAATTTTTTTTGTGGTCATTTTTATTACGATTTTATTTTTTATCGGCAGAGAATAAAATAAAACCTGTCTTCCAATTCATTGTATTTGTGTGTGTGTGGTAGAAGTATCGGTTTTTGTACTCAGTATCGGCAAGTACTCACATCCAAGTTTTGCCCGAGTACAAGACAGTTGGCAGAATGTGACAAAAGCTTTATTTACTAACCTGACAGGGTTGCTAGTGAGAGACACTCGGAGGGATTCCAGGCAATTGAGCAGCTTTTCTTCTGTGATGCCAGAACGCAGTTCATGGACGTATTCTTGGGAAGAAAGGGTACACTCATGCTTACTGTTCCTCAGTCCACCCTGCAAACAAAATATCAGTGGGACAGTTATTAGAGATCAGCAGACCATACTATGACTCAACTTTTGGAACAACATCTCCCTGAATACACAGACGCGAATGAAAAACTGCAGGTCAATAAAACAAAAAGAAGAATTTGTTGGTGTTAATCAAAAACCCCTTTTATCAGTGTGTTGTATGTAGTAGTATGAGTATGTGGGGATTTTTTTTAACTTTTTACTTTTTCACATTAAAATCTTTTTCATCTTTTTATTGCATGATAATTATAATAATAACATTTGGCGAGGACATCTATGCTTTAGAAGGAGAAGCTGCACCAGCCACTTTCCCTTTCCCAGTCAGCCAAGACTCTAATGATGGACTGTACTGACAGAGAGCCAGAAACAGGCTGCACATGCTCTCTGCAGCCACTCCTGCTTGAAGTAAATGGATTCTTGTGTTTAATCTCCACAGGGATCTGTTGCTACACTGATACTTACACAATGAGACTATTGGCATCTATTGGCAGCGATACACACATTTTCAGCACAACAGTGAAACACACTGACACTCACTTTACATTCACTGTCTAAGCACACAGTGGAGTTAACATGGTACTATATATTGGACTACAGCGATCAATGAAAAACTGGACTATAAATGAAAACGCTCCACATGCAAACTGAAGAATACAACACTAACCCTGCTTCTACTTGTAGAAGCTGCAAAAACTAATTTCATTTACCAATTTCAGTTGTTCTGTTTTCATTGTTAATATGACCGAGGTACCACACAAATCACATGAAGAGACAATGCAGAAAAAGCATGTATGCCTAAACCATATCTGCTGTGTTCATCCCTGGATTGCTGGTTTCCTACTATGTGAGCTGTGCTAATAGCCAGTTTGGGAAGTAATAAGCTAACTCATTTATCTAGAGAAAAGAGAAGCTTGCTGATCTCCTGCAATGCACAGTGAACATGAAAGAAGCACATTTTTTGTTGCAAAAAGCAGATGCAGTCTAAGAACAGCAAGCTACCGCTGATTCGGAGCTTTCAGTGTAAACTGACCTCACAGACTGATTGACCGAATAATGGCACAGAATCTCTCGTATGTATTCGATTCCGGAAAATGCTAAATCACATTCTGTAAATTACTTGAGTGATTCCTGCCAAAAGCAATTTCATTTCATTACCAGAAGAAATGTAATCACACATCGTACTTTATATACTGTATCGGCTGTAAGAATATTAATGATGGATCTACAAACTACAGTTGAAAAACAAAAGTTTTGGGGGTTTTTTGTTCAAATGCATGAACCATTCTTCTTTTGTACTGTTAATCTCTTATTTTTCTTTAAAAAATAATCAACTCTCCTGTGTGACTCTGTCTTTGTGACTGAAAATATGACTTGTCATTAGCTTACGTATTAAAACTTCTATATACAGGAATCGTAATCGGTAATTATACTCTGGAATCTAAATATTGCAAACATTAACAACCATACGCCTCTTTCCTTAAAAAGTCTAAAATGTTGACAGCCAGAGAAAAGCTACAATAGTAACTGTAAGAAGCAAAAGATAAAACCACATATATAAAATGCAAAATGTAACAGATTTTTATTTAATTTGGAGTACAGAGACAGATACTCCAAACTCTCAACGAGGCGAAATGAGAAATACAAACCTTGAAATAGATGTCAAGGTCGAAGCCTGACAGTGATGTAAAACTGTTTCATAGAAATTACATTACAATTACACTTTCCTGGCAGTTAAGGTACTTCAAAGAACATATGTATTTTTAATCCTTGAGTGGTAGAGCTTATGTTTTTGAAATCAGTTCTCAAAGAAAAGTTCATTTGTGTCTAACTCAATGAACCTTTAACTCAATAACTCAGTGTGCATCCGCGTGTTGTTGGACTTATAATTTAATGACTCTACTTTATTAAATTTGATATGCACAGAGTTCAAGTAATTAGCATTTTCAATCACAATGTAATAATCTTCCATTGTTTCACTAAAAATATTCAGAAGCAACAGTGTATCCCTAAAAGAGGAGCTGATAAAGATGTCTTGAAAAGACAAAAAGCACTCTGAATTAATATCATGATATGAATCAGTTAATTCAGACATGGTAACAAATGATTATTTAGGGACAGCAGTTAGCTGTTTCTACTTTTACTCTTTTAAAAAGCTAAAAAATGAAAAATCACATGGCTTAAGAGAATGACAACAGATGGGGTCCTGACTTGTTCAAACAGGCACAGCAAGAACATAAGAACCTTCTGGCTGTGAGGCACCAGCCCAACCACTGTATCACCGAGCTGTGGTTGAGTGTCTGAGTACTTTTTTAATTCCAAATGTTACATTTAGGCTTTTATTTTAGATGAAATAACAATTGATACCAGTTAAGATGTTTATGTCTTGATCTCGACTCTATCTGAAAAGGAACTGGACCGATGAGCTGCTAGACATACTGTCTTTACTGGTACGCTTAAGTGTTCATTAATTGAAAATACTTACTTTTCTGTTGAGCCTCAAAGATGTATTTTTCTCTATCAAGTAGATAAGAAAAAGACTGGATCTAGAGTATTCATTACCCAATGCTGCCTGCACAAGGATCTTCCATAGTAAATGGACCTAAGTCATTAAAACTATTGATTAAGATGGTGCATTACCATTAAGTGTCAGATCCAATCATGCTAAGCATGCACAAGCAGCATGTAAGCGATTTAAAAGCTACTACCAAAAAAGTAGAAGAAAAATAATTAGATTTAGATGATCAGAATGAGCATTGTTGAGAGTTGGTGTAAAATGCTGAATCACAGCAGTCAGATAACCAAACCTTTTGTTTCTGCAGAAGGACAGAGTGTTGAAAACACACTGCTGTCTGCAGCGATTCAGTCTTGATAACAACAAAAGCTAAAGCAGCTCAGTTGGGTAGATAGTGGAGAGGTCATGTCAGAACTTTGCTCAATAAAGTTTGGAAAATAACGCCTGGTGAGTGTTAAAATCACATTGGTGCACTTCATCTAAATCTGAAGACCAAATGCCTGCAAATTGGCAAAAGCTTGATGTTGGTTGTTGTAGAGCTTGATGAAATGGAAAGGCATGGACCGGCATTTACAAACTGCTTTTCTAGTCTTACTGATGACTGAAAGCATAAAGCCACATTCACCTTTTCACACATTTATACAGCACAGTTCTTTACCTTTCCTCCATAGGCAATTTAGAAGCAATTTACAAGCAATACAACTGACCAAAAAAGTCTTTTTACAGCAGGAGTTAGACAGATTACCCAGAGGATAGTAAGCAAGACCAGATTCAAATTCAGAGGCTTCCAGCTTCACCGCGTCATGGTTCAGTAACTGAACACTCAGCAGTTTTGATAAGAAACTCTTACAAACTTGAGAAAAATTTATTTATTTGACAAATTCAGACTTTCATAGATAAAACCTGTGACATCCTTAAATACCTCCACTTTTGAGCAAAGTAACCAAAGCCATAATAATATAAAAGTTTATCAAAACATTGTAGGAAAAAACACTGCATACTGTTAGAGAAAAAAATATATATAAATGTAATGCTGCTTAAACTGGCGTTTTACTTTTGGATGCACGATTTGCAGAAAAATACTTCCTCAGCATCGGGCAGTGAGAGGCAAGTGCATCACCCACTTTTTATTAATCTTCTTACCCCTCAATAGTTCCCAGCAAGCATACCGCTATATCCAGAAACACTAGAGCTCTGGTTTCACCACAGGCTCTGACCTCTGGAAACCAAAGACACTGACCATAAACTGTTTTTTCATGACCCTAGCCCAAATCAATAGAATCCTTTGGGATAATATCAACATTACACTCCCATACTGGCAGCAGAGAAACAATCTGAGGAGCAGGAGGGGGGGATTACCTGCTGACCACTGGGTAATAGAGTTTTCCTCCCATCAGGTTCTCAAAAAATGGTCAACAGTACAAACCTGTCAAAAACAGTGCGTACAGAAAGGAAGCAATGGAGGGATGGGAGATGGTGTGTGATGCAGCAGTAAGACATGAAAAGTCAAAGAAGCAGGGGGTATGAGGGTGATAAGAAAAACTAGGGAAGAGATACAAAAAGAGAGCACGGGGAGAAAGGGCAGGGCAGAAAGATAGAACAGCTCTACAGTAGAGGACAGACACAGCCTTTTGACCACAGCCTAGAGCCTCATCTCCTGCCGCTTATTGAATCCCCTATTTGTCGATAACAGTATTTCCTGCCAAAGAAAATAGTGCTGGGAGCAATTACTTCACCGAGCCTGTCAATTTCATTTTGGGGGGTTAGGGGAGCATTGAGGCTCATTCCCTCCTCCTCTATCACCTCTGTCTACCTTTCTGTATGCCACGGGGAGTGACTGAGTGCACTGCCTTCTATCGAGGGCAGGGCAGGGAGACAATGCCAAGGCGCCTGCACCTCCACATGTCATCTTCACCTGTAATGAGCTTATAACAAGCTGGCAGCTTCTTCAGTGCCCAGTGCTCAACACACTCAGGCAGACTGATAGATACATTATTCAGCTTCTTTGTCAGCTTACTGGAAAACCACATAAGCAGTAACATGTCTCGCCTGGAAGTTAGTGCTAGGAGATAGCTTCCAGGCCAGACATGCTTCTGTCATTCAGCCTGCTGCGACCTCTCTATCTTTCTCACACATATG